CGCTTTACCAAAAGCGATAAGGCGGAAATGAGTACTCTTCTGAAGAGTCTCATTACCATGAGGTATAACGGCAAAGAAAATATAAGGGAATACATCCTGAACATGTCTAATACTGCTTCTAAGTTGAGAGCACTTAAGTTAGACCTTTCAGAGGACATGTTAGTCCTATTGGTTTTTCTCTCACTTCCTACTCAATACAATCAGTTTAAAGTCAGTTATAACTGTCAAAAGGAGAAGTGGACTCTTAATAAGCTCATCTTTCACTGTGTTGAGGAAGAAGAAATGATGAAGCGTTATAAGACTGAAGAGGTACATGTGGTGGATACCTCAAAGGATGCAGGCGGCAAGAAGAGAAAATATAAGGCCGTTAAGGTTGAGACTGCTAAGGCTCATGTTCCAGCTCCAGCTCCTCGGGCTCGTCCTGAATAGACTTGCTTCTTTTGCACGAAACCTGGACATGAGAAGAAGAATTGTACTAAGTTTCACGATTGGCGCGTGAAGAAGGGTACGTTTCTTACTTTGGTTTGTTCTGAGGTTAATTTAGCTTCAGTACCTCGAAATACTTGGTGGTTAGACTCTGGATCAACTACTAACATCAGTGTTTCAATGCAGGGTTGCCTGAGCTACCGAAACCCAACTGATGCTGAAAGACGCATTTACTTTGGAAATGGGGACTCAGTAGATGTGGAAGCCGTGGGCATTTTTAAGTTGTTATTGAGTACTGGACATTTTCTTGAATTGCAAGACACTTTTATTATACCATCATTTAGACGGAATTTGGTTTCTGTTTCTTATTTGGACAAATTCGGTTATCATTGTTCTTTTTGAAACAATAAAGTTGAGTTGTCTTTTCATTCATGTTTGGTTGGTTTTGGTACTTTTATGGTGAATGACAGCTTATATATGCTCGATATTTTGGTTTCCTATAATGAGGCACTTAATATGGAATCAAAAGGTACTAAGCGAAAATTGCATGACTCTAATTTATTGTGGCACAAACGTTTAGGTCATATTTCAAGAAACAGAGTTGAAAGACTCATTAAGGATGGAATCCTTGATTCCATAAATTTTTCAGACTTTGATGTTTGTGTCGATCGCATTAAGGGTAAACAAACCAAGGGTAAAGAGATAGGCGCTTATCGAGCTACGGATGTCTTAGAATTGATACATACAGACATTTTTGGGCCTTTTCCCACTCCTTAGTGGAACGGTCAACAATATTTTGTGTCATTCATAGACGATTATTCTCGATATGGTCATCTGTACCTTATTAAGGAAAAGTCTGAGGCACTGGACATGTTCAAAGCATTTAAGGCTGAAGTTGAAAATCAACTAAACAAACGCATTAAGACTGTCAGATCTGACCGTGGAGGAGAATATTGCGGCAGAAATGATGGCTCGGGTGAACAACGTCCAGGTCCTTTTGCTGTCTTCCTTAAGGAGTGTGGAATTGTCCCTCAATACACCATGCCCAGTTCACCTAGCATGAACGGTGTTGCTGAGAGACGAAACCGTATATTGAAGGATATGGTTCGAAGTATGATTAGTCAATCTACTTTACCACCATCATTATGGGGAGAAGCATTAAAGACAGCAGTCTACATCCTTAATCGAGTGCCAACTAAGGCGACTGCCAAAACACCCTATGAACTCTGGATTGGGCGCAAGCCTAGCTGAAATCATCTTAGGGTGTGGGGTTGTCCAGCTGAGGTGAAGGCCTATAGGCCAAATAAGGATGTTGAGTTTAGGGGAAGAAATACAGTTTTAGACTTTACTTTTGAGGATCAAGAAATCACTGATGTGATTGATCAAACACCTCATGAGTTAACAGTCATTCCAGCTCCCATAGAGTTTCAAAGTGCGACTGAGGAACCCGTTCGTATAGAACAGGAACCTATGCCTATGGAACAAACTCAACAAACTCAAGAACATATAGTTCAAGAGCCAACGCAATTGCGTAGATCCACTAGAGAGCGAAGAAATGCCATTCCGGATGATTATGTGACATTTCTTCAAGAAAGTGAGGACAGTGATGGCATGACTGAGGATGATCCAATTAATATTTCTCATGCCATTAGGGGTCCTTATTCAGATAAATGGATTGATGCGATGCGTGATGAGTACAAGTCAATGCAAGACAATAAAGTTTGGGAACTTGTCCCTTTGCCAGAAGGTGCAAAACCCGTAGGTTGCAAATGGATTTTTAAAACCAAACGAGATGCAAATGGTAATATGGAGAGGTATAAGGCACGTCTTGTAGCTAAAGGCTATACTCAGAAAAATTGGATTGATTATAAAGAGACTTTCTCTCCGGTTTCTTCGAAGGACTCTTTTAGGACAATCATGGCTCTTGTGGCATACTTTGATTTAGAGCTCCATCAAATGGATGTTAAGACGGAGTTTCTGAATGGTGACATTGATGAAACGATCTATATGGTACAACCAGAAACTTTTGAGGTCGGTGACCCAAAGCAAATGGTTTGTAAATTAAGAAAATCTATCTATGGGCTCAAACAAGCGTCTCGACAGTGGTATCACAAGTTTCATCAAGTAATTCTCTCATATGGTTTTGAGATGAATGTGGTTGATGATTGTGTTTATCACAAGTTCAGTGGGAGCAAGTTTATTTTCTTGATTTTGTATGTGGATGACATTTTGCTTGCCACAAATAACGTGAGCATGTTGCATGAAACTAAGAAATTTCTCTCGAGTAACTTTGAAATGAACGATCTTGGTGAAGCATCTTTTGTATTAGGGATTCAAATATATCGTGATAGATCTCGGTGTGTTCTCGGATTATCTCAAAAGAGCTATATTGATAAAATACTCTAGCGATTCAGCATGCAGAAATGCAAGCCGGGAGATACCCCTATAGCTAAAGGAGATAAATTAAGTCTCAGCCAATGCCCTAAAGTAAATCTGGAAATTGAGGAGATGGAAAAGATCCCCTATGCCTCGGCAATTGTGAGCCTCATGTATGCACAAGTATGTACGCGTCCAGATATTGCGTACATAGTCGGTGTGTTAGGCAGATACCTCAGTAATCCTGGATTGGATCACTGGAAGGCAGCCAAGAGGGTGATGAGATATCTGAAGAGAACTAGTAATCACATGCTCACATATAGGAGGTCAGACCAATTGGAGATCGTTGGATACTCTGACTCCGACTTTGCAGGATACCAAGATAGTAGGAAATCTACATCTAGCCTTGTTTATATGTTGGCCGGTGGGGCCATCGCTTGGCGCAGTGCCAAACAGACACTCGTTACCAGTTCCACGATGGAAGCTGAGTTCGTGGCGTGTTTTGAGGCATCACAGCAAGCGATTTGGCTAAAGAACTTTGTCGCTGGGCTGCGAATCATTCCGATGGTTGAAAAACCCATCAAGATTTTTTGTGACAACAATTCAGCCGTTGAATACTCCAACAACATTAGGAGTTCATCCAGGTCAAAGCATATTAACATTAAGTTCCTAGTTGTGAAGGATAGAGTGAAAGATCATCAGATTTTGATCGAGCACTTAGGGACAAAATCCATGTTAGCAGACCCCCTAACTAAAGGTGTAACGCCTAAGGTCTTCCATGAGCATACTGCTCATATGGGTGTGTTACAATTTGAAGAAGCTTCACTGTAGTGGGAGTATACATTTATATTCTTTTGTCGTTCACTTGATATTTATTTTATTCTCTTTTGATCATTATTTCGGTTATGATGTTTTGGACATTATGATTAAGTAATTTACGATCTCATTCAGTTTGGACCAGTAGAAAATTGACATATGTAGATCACACTTATGTAATTTTCTCTCTGCACGTTCTATAATTGATCTATGTCATTTGATTACCTTGATATTCGTGATTACTGTGAGTTTAGCTGTTGATACGGCGAATGCTTCTTTAGTCCTATATTGTTGTGATTGATGGACCAGATTGTTGCAAGTCTTGTTTTATAATGACTGAAAATTGAGCTTATAAGGAACAATATATTCATTCAGACACATACTAGATCCAGTGGGAGATTGTTGGATTTGGGATCAAATATTTGTATCGAATATGTTGTTAAATTCATTATTTTATTTAGTCTTATTATTTTCAAGTGGTCTAATTAATATAATTAATTATTGACTGATAGGTTTAATTGTTATGGAATGAAAGTGTAGCTACCCGTATAATATTATTATTTTGGTGACGTGACAAATTAATAATATTAATTAAGGGAATAATTGTAATTGCAATTATGTTTGTCCTATTATAAATAGGCGAGGGTTAGGTCCCCAGGATCATCACGCCGTAAAAGAGATCTGATTATCCCTGCAGTTTCTCCTCCTCACCCGTCAAGGACAGAAAGGAAGCCGGCTCTCTGATCTTGGAAGACCAAACCTTTAATCACTCAAGATTTGTATATGGCTTCATCAGGTACGCTTCCGCTTTAAGGATCAGGCATTTAAATTCAACATATATATCAGAGTTTCTGTCTCAAAATCCACTAAAAAGAAAAAGAAAAACACATCATAGTTTCTGTGTTAACCTCAAACTCTGAAAAGATGTCAATGGGTTGTTGCTCATCGCTCCCTAAGAATAGATTTATAAAAGTCTCGCAAATTTCATACTTTAAGTTAAACTAAAATTTAATTTAGATAAAAGTATTAATTGTCTATATTAAATTGAAAATAAAAATAAATTGTGTGTTCTTCTTGTCGTCGTTTGTGTGTTCTTGGCATCACATGTATTTTCGTCTTTTTGGGAGCATCTCTTACACTACAAAAAAAAAATATCAATTTGGAAGGGAAAATTACTACCATATATAATATATCACAAAATTGGAACATTATTTAGTAGAATAAAAGAAAAGGGTCGTAGTTATGATGCGTTGTGAGGAAAAATTGCAACTAATTAAATCTGTAGGAGAAATCCTATAATTTACATGTCGGATATGTAAATAAGTCACAAAACTGCAATGGAAATAGCCAGAAAATTGATCCGTCCCAGAAATCCTATAATTTACACGACGCATAATTCGGCCCGTCGCAATATTGTAGGGAAATCTGTTACAATCTGAATCTCTTGCAATTCCTACAATTTACACTATGAATAATTATGTCCGTCACAATATTGCAAGGGCATCCGCAACAAATTGAATCTCTTGCAATGTTTAGGTATTTATTCCCATAAACAAGATTACAATTCCGCGCAAACACACATCACGAAAACACACCCAAACACATCCATTGCACCAGCGACATCTATTCCAGCCGTTTGGGAAGTTTTATCACCGCCGACGGAGCTGAATTTGGCGGCAGCTGAGGTATGGTCAACTTTCACCGTTTGCTTTTGCTCGGGTAACTTAAAGAATCACATGTGTAAGGATTCCAGGGTTTCGTATTATTACAATTTGTGTTCGATTCACTAGCTATTTGTCTTGTTTCTTGTTGTTTTTGCTTATGACATCAATCCATAGGAATGTGTTCAATTAATTTCAATTTAATTGTTCGATTCATTTCAATTTCAGGAGCTATTGACCTTGTGTTAATCAGTTAATAGATTATAATTTTAGTTTTTCTTTGTCTTCTCAACAAAGCTTTCTGTTCGTGGTTTTTTTTTAAAGAAATAGATAGATTGATGTATGTTAGAGTGTTCAGCATTAATATATTAACTCTGTAAGTAATATAAGATGATAATGTTTCAGGACATCATAATCTGAATACGGATGCACTTTAAGCTTATAATAATCAAAATAATATGATTGCAAATACATTACACATTCGAAATGGTTTTTCATAATGCTTAAATTTACTAATTTCACCTTGTTAACAAAGCATTGGGAATTTAAAGTTGGTCTCACATTTGTTGCAGGATTAAGTTGGTGGCAGCTTGACTCCCCCATCAGAGTTGGCAATATCCAAGTCAGTAGATGACTTCCTAACTTTCATTTGCAATGAATGACTATGATTTAATGGATTTAAATGATTACATTTTGTTTTGGGCATTATTGAGGCCATTGTATATGTGACTCTGATGCTTTGAATGAGTTTTCTGGTATATAAATATTATTATTTAAAACCTATAAGTATAGGTATTTATGCTTTGAATGATTGATGCCGGTAGATCGATTTTTACACAATTGTATTTCGGCTTGTTAGTATTTTGATAATAAAGTTTTATCTTAGAATAAATTGCAAGGCTCTGGATGTGGCTGAAATAATCATAATAGAGCAGTCCGATTTTTTTTTGTTTTACATTTTTAAGTTTTCTTCTATTTGAATTTTTCAATTGCTTTGTTTGCAATATTCACAATGAGTGCAAAGTGTCATGTATGAGCTTATGTCTGATCCTACAAGAATGATTCAGTTGTAATTTAGCTAAAACATATTACTATCTAATCATTTTCAACCATATATTGAAATCCAATTGGGATTTCAATACCATATTATTTGGTGTCATGTGTCTATATGGTTTTTACCCATAACCAATTGGGAATGACATCTTTCATTTCATTTATCAATTTTTAGAAAGTTCTATGAATATAGGTTAATGATTTTGTCCCAATTAGAAGAGCAAAAGGCAGTTGGACTCTAGAGGAGGAGGTAAAAAAGAGATGCTCTTTCATATTGTGTTCAATCTAGAATATGTTTTTGTTTTGACCTCATATATGATCTAGAAGAGAAGAGTTTAATTTTTGCACATAAAAGAATTCTAGCAGTTTAGTACTATAATTTTTTTGACATTTCTTTATATCTTCTGTTGTCAAGCATGAAATATGCATGTAATTAATAAGTGTAAACGGCTTTGGTTCAGGATGATACATTGAAAAGGGCTGTTGTAGCTTTACAGGGGAAAGTGTTGGAAGAAAATAGGTATATTTAGGTCAAAATATCATCTCTTTTGTCTAATATTTAGTTTGCAGCCTTTTTTGTATTTGCAACATAATTTTTATTGAAATTCTTCGATTGATTCGGTTATCTTAATGCTTGTTATGTTCTATTCAAGTGTTTGCCTTTTAGGTATCCAGTAGATTCCATCACTTTGCTGCCAAACACATTCTACTAATTATTAGATTGGAGTTTAAGTAACTGCTTCTTGGAAGTTGTGATGAAACTCAAATGCTGGCTGCACAAATGGGAACCAGCTGTAGATAAAACTATAGTACGTAGATTTAAACAAAGGGAGATGTATGAATAGCTTTCTTACACATTTTGATATATAAGAGTTGGACTACAAATGCTAATACCTCTTCATTCTTCTGTTTGATTACTCAACTAGATAAAATGCGGTTGCAAGAATATAATATATGCAACTGAAAGACTGTTCTTTGAGTTGAATAAAGTTTTGATAACCAATAACAATCCAATCATAACCATTGTTGTTCTTAGTTTGAATTATCTTCTCAAAAAGATTGGCATTTATGCACCGGAGTTCTGTCCGGAGAGAACATAAGTTCAGTGTTATAGATGGCAAAAGGTTCTGAATCCAAATCTTGTTTAAGGTCATTCGACTCAAGAGGTTGGTTGTTTTTTCCTCCAAAAATATGTATCAACCATTCGAATATTATATGTTTGATTACAAGATTTATGTTCTTAGAGGATGAGAAAAAACAAAACTAGGGAATAAATATGGACCTAAAAAATGGCCTACTATAGCAAAATCTGACTAAGCAGTCTGTTGTGTTTATTCGATGATAAATTAATTTTCTCTGATAATTGAGAGTGATTGTATTAGCTAATAAAATTAACCTTTATAATTGCTCATGCTGTCATTTTTATTGTTAGAGAATCCACCATCATGAATTCCTTCAATTTTTGGAACACTTGGTAATTAACTGATCAATATATAGTGCACTCGAATGATTTTGTAATTTGTAGTTGCCATTTGTGACAAGTGAAAAGACTACAAAGAGCTTGTCTCAAAAACCCTGTTAAAGTAGTTGTGTGATTGTTTCCCGTTAGTTTTCAATAAAACATTCTCTACATAATAAATTTCTTATTATTCTAAGTTTAAGTATAGATTGAAGCTGCTTCCAAGTATTATACCGTTGATACGCTGAAGCAACAATACTATTTTGTTCCTGCAAAAGTACAAGGTCCATAGGTTTTCATGATTTGTTTCTGATGTGATTTTTCATTTCTCTTGACATTGATACAAATATTTTCCCCTTTTTCTACTTCAGGATTGTTATCTTGTATATATATTGACCAAAATGTCGGGAAGTACATCTATGGTTTTCACCCATACATATGATGCAACAGCCCTTTTGACTCATATGCTTTGGAATCTTGGATTCAGAGCCATTCCAATTAATGGCCATATGACTCAGATAAACATCTGTAAACATGCTTGTTTTCGTCATCTCGTACCTATAATATTATAGCGGTAACTAATAACCCCTCTCTCTCAAGAATTCAAAAATCATCACAAGAATCCCAATAGTACTGCTCATTTGATTTTGTTTGTAGTTTCATTTTTCATCATGTATGTATGTTATGTATACCTTTAGTTGAGAGCTAGCTAGCTACCTTATGAAATTCAAAATAGTTGTTTGTGCAAGTAAGTTCTTGCATGTGCTATGTTAGTTATGTAGACTTTTGTGATCAAAAGAATGTTTCGACTGCAAGATAGCATAGAGTTTGTATCTCATTTGCATCTCCTCAAAGAATACATCAAATTAGTGACTCTTTGATGGCTTAATATTGACATGGGATACCTATTGCTAGTGTTACCATGATGTAATTTTCTTAGATGCTTTTGAATCCAATATACAGTTATTTTCTATAACTTGATTTCTTAATTAAAAAATGTGAATTATATTGTTGCCTCACTCTTTCACGTTAATATAAATGACCTTTTGGCTTGTTTCTTTCGCAATGTTTGTATGTGGGATTTGTGTTAATCAACATATTTCAAGTTCATCAACTATATTTCGTTAATTGTGTTGGAGTTGTGTGTCAATGACAGGTTCTGCTTTTGATGCTTAGACTACGTAGCATGTCTTGATCATGTCTATATTTTGGAATATAGGCAAAATTTTTTAGAAGTTCTACTGTCAATAAGGTTATTGTTTTGTATCACAATGGCAACATAACACCTTGAGGCATAAGGATTAATAAATTTACTATCTCTTTAATATAAACTTGACATTTACTTAATTTTTTTATTACACAAGTTATGTATGGTTATTATAATTTGATTTTTTTCAAAATGATCATGCTCCAGGTACACTTGAAATGACTTCAAGAGGTTGTCTAGAAGTTGATTTTGAAACGATAGCTGGATATCTCATTTAAGTTGCTCGTATTGATAGTTCTATACAATAAGAACATGGAAACTACCAAAAGGATTTATTAAAGGACTTGAGAACAACAAAGAAATCATTGAACTTTGGAACTGGGTAGGAAGCTGTCGCATTTTACCATGACGGGGTTTGATGGATGATTTATTATTATATGTTTTTTAATTACCAGTTTAGTTGTTTTGTATGATAGTTTGGTAAATGGAACTAGATTTTGTACATTTATATAATATGTGCTACTAGGGGTATTGATATTAAATATATTTTATTCGTATGTGGTTTATTATACTCTATTTTGATTTGAAATTTTTATATGATTTTCGTTATTTTTCATATATTTGATGAGAGATATTAATCAAATCATTAAATTTTTTTGTGGAGGATTGAATTAATATTTGTTATATACGTTCCGGAAAAATCGGCAAAAGCGTATACTACACAAATTGCGACGGAATTAACAATAGTTATATACCATCGCAAAATGTTAACTTTACGACGTTGCAAAAAATTGCAACGGAGTCAACAACAAACCATTTCTCTTGTAATGAACTACGTCAATAGTATCTTTTTGTAGTAAAATTCCGTGGCAAAAAATTGCGACAAAAATAATGGTCACTAATTTTGTGGAAATTTTCTGCAACGGAAAATTTTAATTGTCACATTATATTACTACAATAGTATTTACTACTGCTCCCACTTGGATGCAAATTCCATTGTAATTGGAAGTTGTGACGGAAATTTTGTTTGTTGTGGCAAAATTTTTCCGTAGTAATTTGTAATTTTTTTTGTAGTGCCAGCCGAGTCGAGATCATCGCAAACTTCCGGAAGGTGCATATTTGTTAGCCCCGCTAGAGGAGTCCAATCAATCATTTATTTAATGCTAATTTTCTATGTGACTAGTGGTAATTTCAAGAAGAATTCAATATTATTGAATTTTCAAAAAAACATAAATGATTGTGGACTTCCAAGTCGACATAAATAAAAGTGGATTCTCAATGTGACATCAATGAGAGAGGATTTCCAAGACGACATCAATGAGAGTGGATTTCCAAGATGTGAATGCATTGAATCAAGCATGTTTCCTAGGTTGATTGCATTAAATTGTTTCACTTATTTCCTAGATTGAATAGAATAGTTTCCAACTTTTGCATTTATTTCCCCTTGTCTATAAAAGGGAAAAATTAGATGTAATTTAGCATCATCTTTCTTTTGAATATATTTGAACATTAGTTCTTTCCTTAAACTAAGTGTTTGAGAGTGATTCCTTGCACTTCGGTTTATCCATCAAATCGGATTTTTGGTTAAGTCCACAGGTTCGTTCCTTCAAACCTTCATAGGGGTTTAGCATATTCATTCGAGTTGTTTTTGTTTCGACTTAGTGGGTCTAAGACAAGTTACTTAGGTTCCTAAGCAAGCAAGATACTTCGATACTGCGATTCTCTATCCAGTCGAGTAGGTGTTTGTTATTTTTCTATAAGTCCATTTATCTGTAATCCTTTTCCTTCTCAAAAATTAAAAACCACAAAAATATATCTATATTTTCCTCTAATTGAATATCCATTTCTGCTGGGCATAAAAATATGAACCACCCTACGGCAAAGTGACTAGATGTTGATACAGAACTTTAGAGTTGATGAGGGCTCTTCAGCCATTAATAATGTTTCATCACCAAGAATGATGTTGATTGCATGGAAGTGAAATATAAACTGGAAGCTATTGATGATGATTTCAATGATTTTTATGACAGAGATGATGGATCAGAATCTGAATATATGAATGAGTATGATTACATGGTTTGGTCTTTTTCTTACATATGATTCTGATCTTGTGCACAATTGTAAATGACATGCCATGTGGCAATCTATGGTGAGGTGTGAGCCATTGTCATGGAAGGTGGCACACAAGACACAATTTTATATATTATTAACTTTTATTTATTAGGGTTTATTAGGATTAATTACTACTCCCTCCGTCCCAATACAATAGTCTTGTTTACCATTTTTGTCCATCCCAAAATAATAGTCTTATTTCTATAAATAATCATATCACCATAAAACTACCCATACATTTTTATTTTTATTACACAATTACCACTACTTTTTACTCTAATACACTCACAAGGGCGAAAAAGTCTTTTATCCATATTTTTTACCAACTACCAATATAATATCAATATTCCTTAAATCCCGTGCCCAACCCAATTAAGACTATTTATGGGAAAGAGGGAGTATTATTTATCACTACAAGAAATTATCAATTTTGTAACGAGATTTTTTCGTTCCTAAATTCACTTTTTCCGTTACTAATGATATTAGAGACAGAATTAGAGATAGAATTACCTTAGCTACGTGAACTTTAAGAACGGAATTCCGTTACAAATACACTATTTTTTTGTAATGTATTATTTTAATTAAATAAAAATATAAAATGTTTTATTTTATCTTTCTAAGTTTCTCCAGCTTTTCATGTCTCATTTTTAATTATCATACTTCTTTATGTGTCCCACTGCACTTCCTGTCTTCTGCAAGGTAATACAACTTGTGTTTCATACAAAATCTTCTTTTCATTTGGTTCTCTATTACTATATTCAAGTTATATTATTAGCTTTATGCTCTAGATATTTGTATAAGATACTTTAATGACTATTTTTGTTTGTTGAATATGTGTTATATTAATTGTCCATATATGTGTTATGTATAATAAATTTGCCTAAAAAGTATAGTGTTCTCTATGTGCCATGTCATGACAAAGGTGTTGTGTTGTGCTTCTATATGTGTCATTTACAACTATAGTCTTGTTTTGCCCTTTTATACTGTTTTCAATCAGGTTTGCTTTTAGTTTTCCTTTTTGAAAAGAATGCCAAACCTATTGCCTTATGATGCTAACCATCACTGGCTTTGTTCTTTCCCTAGAATAAGAGGATACAAAACATTGGAACCACCCAAGCTAGGAAAGGCAAACATATCCAAGAATTCCCTGGGAGATGCTCAACATCTTAAGAGAGAAGTATAGACAGACTAAGCTAGAACAACATAAGAATTATGAAAATATTTCTCTATCAGACGAGGGGTCAAAGGTTGGTTGTGTAACTTATTGCAAACAGTGTTTCCTTGCTGCAATCTTCATTCATGATAATGTTTTTCTAGGCAAATTTCACAATATTGAATGGACTTTTTCTCCATTAAAATCTTAGCAATCCCCAATGAACGGAGGATTTCCTTGGAAAAGTGCAAGAATCCGCAATGGATGATTATTTTTCACTTGTGGGAATGCAACAATTTTCAACAGGCTCATGTAATGAAGGATGTTACACCTCGTCAGATAGATATTCCTTTCAGCTTTCTATCTGATAAAGAAGCTATAAGTGTTCAAATTTGTATAAAGTTAGCTTGCACAAGTGCAAATAAGGAGCTGGTAGAAATTTCCTCTATAATTTTATTCTCTGCATATTCAAGAAAGGGTATATATTGTAGGATCAGTTAATGAAGTGTTGGGACCGGCTTCTTTAACTACTGCACAATGCTTATATATGGTGGCTATAATTCAAGGGATTTTGAAGGTAAGTTGGAGAACAATCCTTTCCATTTGTCATTATAAACTTTTGGTATTTCAAATACAAGTTAGTATTTTTCATCCTTATTACATGACTGAAGTTTTTCGTATATTAGTAAAACTTGCCCTGGATGTTAAATTTGTCATTC